CCTCCCTCCCCCCGCCCCCCCGCCAATGGTGTCCCGCTTTACCAATTTTAAAATCTGGTCACTTTATCTTATAAGCAAAGTCAGTGTGGAAGCTATCAGGAGTTTAGAAATGCATGGCATTATTGCTTAATGATCCACGGTGATTCATTAAATAACAGCAACTGTAAGTGCTAGAATTTCTATTGCAAAGTGGCTTACATCAGTCATTACAACTGGGTCACCTAGCCACAGAAATTCCAATCTCAATTGCTGAGTTAGCTGAGGACAGTTATAATTAGCCACTTGTGTATAAAAAGGTTTACATTGTTACAGATGCAGGAAAAAATGCAGGTTAACTAATATACCTAAAAAAATTGATGTGAAATGAACTTAGGAAGAATGAGAAATCGAGTGGAAAAACAGTACTGACAAATTTGTCCATTCTTATTTGTGTTTTATAACTACAGTTCCGAAATAACCAAGCAAGAAGCATTTGCAACTAATGTTCTTTGTTTTTAGTTCTGGAATTGCACTTTTGACCTGAAGAATAAAGATGAAAAAGATGAAAACAGTGGCTTTAAAATAATAAGTGCTTTGCGCTGTACCATTGGTGTGAAGGCTGCGATATCCTTTCTTTCTGTCTCCCTCCATCTCCCTCTCTTTTTCTTCATTCTCTCTTTATTACTTTCTAATTGCACATTACCTGCTGATGTACTGACTTCATATAACATTTCCAGTCAACTGATTTTTGTTCTCAAAAGAATAACAAAGTTGGAAGGGACCTTGGAGGTCTTCTAGTCCATCCCACTGCTCAAACATGAAATCCTGTACAGATAATCCTCAACTTAAGACCACAATTGAGCCCAAAATTTCTATTGCTAAGTGAGACATTTGTTAAGTGAGTTTTGACCCATTCTACAATGTTTCTTGCTCCACTTGGTAAGTGAATCCCTGCAGTTGTTAAGTTAGTCACACGGTTGTTAAGTGAATCTGGCTTGCCCATTGACCTTGCTTGTCAGAAAGTTGAGATACCACAACTGTTATAAATATGAGTCACTTGCCAATCATCTGGATTTTGATCATGTTTCCATAGGAATGCTGCAATGGGTGTAAGTGTGAAAAATGGCCATAAGTCGTGTTTTCAGTGTTGTAACTTTGAACATTGACTAAATGAAATGTTACAAGTTGAGGACTAACTATATAGTTTAGGGTCAGGAGGAACACTTTATACTTTCCCAGCTTATTCTCCCTGAGTGAACATGCAATAGTTAAGGAGAATGCAAGGACATTACACTATAAGTGTTATTATTTATTTATAAAATTTATATTGCTGCACATGGCGACTCAAGGCAGCTTATTATAACTAGAGCTCCCATGGAAAATAGTGGCCTGCTCTATTAGTCCATTTATTTTCCTCTTGCTACATTCCATGCAGAGTGTATATTTCATTGTTCGGATGTCATGCTGATAGACCAGGGAAACAAGCTTTGTCTTTATTTCACAACATGTTAGAAGTTGGCCAAAGGCAAAAGAATGACTTGAAGTGCCATTGTGGTTGTCATCCTATATTTCTGAATTTCTATTACTTTTTTTCTGCCCAATCTTTCCTTCATTTCTTTTTGCAGTGTTTATGAAGCAGAGTAATATATCTTTGAGTTATGGGGGTTTCGCTCTTGTAGGCTCATTTTTCTTGTGGCTTTCTGAAACCTAGCAGGCGATCTGAGTCTGACATTCTGTTATGGAATAATCTTGTCAGCTCAGAAGCCTTCACAGCTTATCATGTGGGAGCAAGTTGAGTTGATAAATTCCCCGTGAAGCAGTGAGGTGAGAAAGTGAAATCAATTATTAGATCCCCATCACCCTCCAGAAATACCATAGGATGAGCGACTGAGAAGGATGGAGCTTTCTGTGTCCTGATTTCAGGCACTGTAAAGAATTTCAAAGGATGTAACTTTCTTTTCTAGTACTAAATGTGCAGATATATATACACCTTCTCTTAACAGGGAAATTGGAGGAGAGTTAGGCTCAATATAGGTAGTCCTCGACTCAATAATTGAGCTGAAATTTTCTATGGCTAAGTAAGACAGTTCTTAAGTGAATTTTGCCCCATTTTATGACTTTCTTGCCACAGTTGTTAAGTGAATCACAGTTGTAAAATGAATCTTATTTTCACCTATCAGGAGGTTGCAAGTCAGGTGACCTGGGGACACTTTAGCCAACATAATAAATAGTCGCCAAGTGCCTGAATTTTTAATCACATGACCATGGGAAATGTTGTAATTAGTCGTAAGTTTGAAAAACAGTTGTAAGTCACTTTTTTCAGTGCCATTATACTTTGAATGGTCACTACATGAACTGTTGTAGGTCAACCTTAAGAACGAAATTTGTGCCCTTTAAGGCCTGCATGCAGTCAGTGCTAGGACCATTCTCTAGTCTGTAGATGGAGCTAAGACAAAAATGAAAGTTGCTTTAATGTGCTTGACACTTTAAGGTAAAGGTTCCCCTCGCACATGCGTGCTAGTCATTCCCGACTCTAGGGGGTGGTGTTCATCTCCATTTCAAAGCCGAAGAGCCAGCGCTGTCCCAAGACTTCTCCCTGGTCATGTGGCTGGCATGACTAAATGCCGAAGGTGCACAGAACGCTGTTACCTTCCCACCAAAGGTGGTGCCTATTTTTCTACTTGCATTTCTACGTGCTTTCAAACTGCTAGGTTGGCAGAAGCTGGGACAAGTATTGGAAGCTCACTCAGTTACGTGGCACTAGGGATTCAAACTGCTGAACTGCTGACCTTTCTAATCGACAAACTTAGCATCTTAGCCACTGAGCCACTGCATTCCCGGCTTGATACTTTATAGTAGTTTAATTTGATTGCTTTCATTTTCCTTCAGTAAATACTGTATGGAAGGCATTTGGAGGAATTGAATTGATACATTTTTCCCAAGAACTGGAATGTGTTTAT